CTGTGATGTATGCATACACATGTGTGCAAGTGTGTGTGGATGCACTCTCCTGTGTATGCACATATAGCAGTCAAAGGTTGACTCCTGGATATCTTCCTCTATTACTCTCCACATTATTTTTTTGAGATGGGTTCTCTCACTGAGCCTAGAGTTTGATGTTCTGGTTGGGCTGGTCGGCCAGCGAGTCCTTTGGGGACCCTCCAATCTGCATCCCTCATCCCGGCACTGGAGTTGTAAGTACACACGGCTATGCCTGGCTTTGACATGGGTTCTAGGTATCTGAGCTCAGGTCCTCATGCCCATACGGCATCACTTTGTCCACTGAGCTATCTCTGCAGCTGTTCATCAGAGCCAGACAGAGAGGAAGATGGGTGTGTGTGTGTGTGTGTGTGTGTGTGTGTGTGTGTGTGTGGTGGGGAGTGTTTCAGGTGGTCAGTGTCATCACTGGAATGAGCAATCTCTGTGATGTATGGTTAAATGGGAACCCAAAAGCTCTTCACAGCAGCTTACTTATTTATTGAAGAAATGTACATTACCAGGCATGATGGTACTTGCCTAGAATTTCTTCTGCTTCGAAGGCTGGGGCAGGAGGATAGTGTGTTTAAGGGCAGGCTGGGCAACATAGCTTGTCAGAAAGAAAGAAAACTAAGAAAGAAAGGCCTAAAACAATGTGAGTGCCTACCATATGCCAAGTATAGCTAGGTGATGGGATATAATGGTGAATAACTTAAACATGGTCTTTGTCATATGAAATGATCAAACACTAACTCAGTCTGATCTCATTGACATTAATGATACCACATCTCTATGTTCATATGCTATTGTGTGCACGCTTCCTTATTTAGTACCTCTTTCCCAGATACACAACCAACAAACATTTTATATGGGCTTTAATAAACACCAGTACTCAGTTAAGCTCTCTGAAAGCCTTATTTGGTTGGCATTATTACCATCTTCTACACCTTACAAATAAAGACACCAGACTAAGAGACATTAAGTAATTTGTTCAGAGTTACCATTAGTGAAAAGAGGAGTTAGGACTTGACCCAGGTTGGTCTGACTCCCGAACACATATCCTTAACTAATACTATGAGCTCAAGAAATTGGGACAAGTTCATTTAATTCTCAACTGCTAATGGTGATGTCATGTTCCATATTGTTACTCTTCAGCCCCAAGCACACAATGTAGACTACACAGACACAGATAAACACAAACTGTCCTGGAGGGCCTGGGACTGAACATGTACAGCAGCAGCAGCAGTGGTCTTTGGGCTGCTGAATTACATACAGCAGTTAGTGCTTTACAGTTAACGCATAGACAAGAACTCAAAAAAAAGGATAAGGGGCTAAGGAGAGCTCCAAAGCTGGGGTTGGGGAGAAAGAGTAGGTGTGTGTGTGTGTGTGTGTGTGTGTGTGTGTGTGTGTGTGTGTAAAAGGAATTCCTGAAAATCAGGAATACAAAACTGAGCTTGGCATGTCTGAAAACCTGGGCAAAAAAAGAAACTGTGATGAGTCAAATGATTTTATCTGTGGTGGCTGAACGGCTGGGCAGTAGCAAATGGCCTCGGTGAGGCATCTTTGGTGCATGATTTGCAGCTTCCATTTTCCTCCACAGTATTTTGCTTTGGTGACTCTGCTGTTGTGTGTTTGTCCACTCCCCTATGTTTCAAAGCTCTGCTGTATCACTTGGGATTGTAGTGCAGTGTGCCAGTCAGCTGGAGAATAGCATTTACTGGATTTAGCGCCCGCTGTGTGCACAACACAAAGGGAGGTTTAGGAAGGAAGGTTTATGAAAGAGAAGGTTCTTTCTTCTAGAGATGCTTCTACTCCAGCTAAAGGGGTGAGCACAACCCTTGTGAGGAACTCAAATCAAACTGTTTCCAAACAAATATACATGTAATACAAATCACCAATATATTTCCCGAAGGCTGCACAGGCAGAAGTCAGCCCTGGAAGACTTTCCGGTGGAGCTGGGTTTTGATCCTGGATTTATGCCCAGGGTTCTGTACTGACCAAGACTGAAGGGTGTTCCAGAGCCAGCCATGAAGAATAGAAGTGTATTAAGTGACAGAAAGGGTAAGGACAGCCAAGTGAAAGACAGTACCAAGGACAGTACCAATAAGGAAACTAGGGAGGCTGTGCCTGAATTCCTCCTTGGGGCAGCGGCATGTACTTCAACAGGAAGGGGCTCTGGAGCGTACCTGAGGGTGCCTCATTCTATGCAAATCGTATCTTTGAAAATATAGTGCAGTCAAAAGTGCTGTCTGCTGAGTTTAGGGGCTGAGCTGGATGCTTCAATCTACATACCTGTCCTGTAAAGTGGGCACTATTTCCTGTGGGTCTCCAGGGAGGTTAAGTACCAGGGTCTTGTACTCATGAAAAGGTAGAGCTCCATGTGTAAGATAGGTTGCTTGACTTGCACACCCACTTCTCATGTACAACACACCTTAAAAATGTTAACAATTTAAGATACGCTAGTGGTGGTGTTTGGCGTTCCGTACAAAACTGATTTATAGTAGCCGTACTCTTATTTTCAAAGGGTTGAGCTTATCAAGTATGCAGCGAGAAAGAGTGGACAAATAGATAACATCATCAACCTGGGTCCTTTAAACACCCAGCAGAAATGACAAGAGAAGTCCCCCTGGGGTTTGTGGGTGAGTGATGACCAGTGTATTCTCCTGTGGATGGCCTTCTGCTATTTTGTTGCCAGTGTGGGCATTTTTTAAGCCTAGGACAAACAATATGAACTTCTGCTCCAAATGTTTAGCTTTCTAGCTGTTCTCAAGGGTGCAACTTAAAAAATAATTTTAAAAAATCACCTTTATGGCTGGGCAGTGGTGGCACATGCCTTTAATCCCAGCACTTGGAAGCAGAGGCAGGTGGATCTCTATGAGTTCAAGGCCAGCATGGTCTACAGATTGAGTTCCAGGACAGCCAGGGCTACACAGAGAAATCGTGTCTGGAAAAAGCAAAAACAAAAAACAAACAAACAAACAAACAAACAAAAAAACCCAAAACCATTTATTTAGTATGCCTGAGTGCCCCTGGGTGTTTTTGTGTGCCATGGTGTACTTTTGGAGGTCAAAGGACAACTTGAAGAAGTTGGTTCTTTCAGTCCACCATTTTGAGTCCTGCAGATTGAACTCAGGCCACCAGGCTTGGGGACAAGGGCTACTACCTTCTAAGCCATGTAGGTGCAATGTTTTTAATGCACTTAGCTGTTTGCTGTACTGCTCCCTCCCTGTTACAGGATTAGGGGGCCAGTGTATCTCAGGACAGGGAGGCTTGCTGGACACTTTAAACAAACTTGCCAAAATGCAGGTAGGAGGAACTTCCTTGCCCCCAGAGTCCTCTTTCCCCATGCTCAAACAGCACATGACAATTTACATAAGTCACAATGTAGGGAAAAAGAAGCACACTTTGGCCCCTGGAACCAGACCCAATGAAAGAAACACTCTTTGGCCCTGAAACCAGAGCCAAATCTGCCCCTGATCAACTGAGCAGAAAACCAACCAATCCCTAAGCAGAAAACCAACCAATCCCTGAGCATGAAATCTAGCCAATCTGAGTTTATCCAAACTCAAGAGGATTGAAATCTGAGCAATTCCCACCCTGGAAATCATCTCCACCCCTATGAAGCCCTATATAAGCCCTGTGCCTGATCAGTTGCTGCTTCCTTTTCCCACCCTGGCAGAGGCAGCCACTACTCACCTGGATTCTTCCCTCCCAGCAAATCTCTTGAATGAGGTTTGGGTGAAGATCTTCTTTCCACGGAGAAGGAGTCTCGGCAGAGCACAGCAAGACTGTACACTTTCTCAAGGTGGGAGTGTGGGGGGCGGACCTGACCACAAGAACTGTAACAGCTTTGCTGGGGAAACCCTCCCCTGCAAGGGCAGAATTGTTACATTGGGGGGACCTTTCCCTGGAGCAGGGCTGTAAACAACTATCCTCATAGTGACTTTGTGGTATTCCTTGGCTCTCGATTGCCAGAATACTTTTCCATCCGCGCTGCAACGCTTACACACACTCTACAAACTTTTTTGTTTTTGTTTTTTCGAGACAGAGTTTCTCCATTTAGCCCTGGCTGTCCTGGAACCCACTCTGTAGACCTAGCTGGCCTCAAACTCACGGAGATCCTCCTGCCTCTCCCTCCCATGCCACTACCTCCCAGCCCTACAAACATTTTTTTTAAGGGAAAGGGATAAAAATTTCTTTGGACTGCTTGCATGGCATTTTATTTCATCAAATACAGATAGCTTTCTCCATTTGACAACAGACAATGAAAACCAAAATAATCCTCGATATCAGTTTCTAGGTCACACTGTCCATTAAGCAGATAATCCTGCCCAGTGTCTCAGGAACAGAAAGTTTCTTAACTCAGGTTGTGGAGACTAGGAAAAAAAAAAGTGCAACTTGTGTCCAAACCAAGTGGGCTGGCTGTTCAAGCACAAGGAGGACAGGCGGACACTGGTGGTAGGGAATGCTGGGCACCTTCAGCACTGGAGGGAACAATTTAGAGATTGTCAGGGATTGTAGGCTCGGGCAGGGAGGCGTGGCAGGGCCGGGCTCCAGGTTGCGCACGCGCGCACCCTCGACGCCACGCCCACCCGCCCCCACCGCCCCTTCTGCGCCGGCGCGCCGCGCAGTCCCGCCCCCTCCTTCCTGCGGCGCTCTAGGGACCATGGCCGATCCTCGCGTGAGGCAGATCAAGATCAAGACCGGCGTGGTGAAGCGGTAAGGAACGGCCCGCGCCGCCGCGGCCGGTGCCCGCTCTCCTCTCCTCAGCGCCCGGGAGGTCCGGCGGAGGGTAGGCCCGA